TTTCTCAAACGTTCAATGTCATTTTCATCTCATCTAAATTATAATGCCTGAATACTGCCTGATAAAGTAGAGTTTATGAGAGCTGCGCAGCTTTTGTGTACAGCTGTTACGAGGGAAACCGTTCCAAAAGCGCCTCCTACTGGCAGAGAATCAATTTGCATGTTCAATAAAGCAATTTTCTACTTTTGAACTGTGTCTTAATGCTGTTGGATATAATTCAATTTGTTTAATTTTCCTAATAAAAAGACTGTTCAACTCTTAATATTTTGTATTTATATTCTCCCCTTTAAATTCTCTCCGCCCCACATAAATCCTAATTTAACACACCTATGCCTGTTTTTTTTGTTTGGTTTTTTTTGCATTCCCATTTGCTCAAATAGCAAAAGAAAAACCAACAATAGTATTTTCAGGACTTATAACAAGAATAAAAAAAATTAGAGAGATACTGATAACGGCAGTCAGAAGAGAGAACTATGTCAAATTTACGTCACTCCCAGACGCTGTATTAGAAACACCCTCGCAATAGCGTTAACTAGTTTTTTATATTCTGATTCAAAGGTAATATAATACAGAGTACAGTGTTGTAAATGTATGCATATTTTTTATTCCATAGTAAGGGCAATTCATACAATACATTTAAACAGAGCTACTTTAATACCATCTCCGAACTTTCTACCGCAAGTCTACTGTTCTTCCTGTATAACTTGATTGACAGATATCTCGTCCAGTCAGCGGTAAGTAATTTATTCTCAAACCAATGGCGCTGTCTCAAACTATACCTACCTCTTCCGGTTTGTCTGATTTGTTGTTGTGTTTTCTGACTTGTTATAATGTTTTCGGAATTGTTGTTGTGTTTTATGAATTGGTATTTAGTTTTTTAGATTTGCATTTGCATTTGTAATTTGTTATTTTGTTTTCAGAATTGTGATTTGCTCTGCACTTCTCGGCCACCGTACATTAACCTACCTCTTCCGGTTTGTCTGATTTGTTGTTGTGTTTTCTGACTTGTTATAATGTTTTCGGAATTGTTGTTGTGTTTTCTGAATTGGTATTTAGTTTTTTAGATTTGCATTTGCATTTGTAATTTGTTATTTTGTTTTCAGAATTGTGATTTGTTTTGCACTTCTCGGCCACCGTACGTACAGTCATGATGAAAAAAAATAATAATTTCAATAAATATTTAATTTACAGTGCATGTGAAATAAAATAAACCCATGTTTGTTGTTTTTGCCCATTTTCTTGATTTTGGGTGATAACATTGAAGTAATAGTAATATTTTAGAGGACATTTTTACAGTAATATGACCTTTTATTGGCACTGACAAAGTAATATAAACAAAAAGAAACAGCAATATTTCAAATGAGAAAAAGTCCCACAAACATGCAAAATATAACTGAATAACAGTGCAGAGTAAACTAAGAATGACTTTAGCACAAGGAATAAATGAAGTAAGCTTTGGTTTGTTGTAGATCCCTGGTCTGAAGATGCCTCGTGGGATTGCTGTGGACTGGGTGGCCAACAACATCTACTGGACGGACTCGGGTCGTGATGTCATCGAGGTGGCACAGATGAACGGGCGCAATCGCAAGACCCTCATCTCGGGCATGATTGACGAGCCCTACGCCATCGTGGTGGACCCACCGCGAGGGTGAGCGGATAATCAACAGAAAGGATGCTTCCCCAGCATTCTTTAGCATCAGCTCTAGCTCTGGTTGTGTCTGTATAGTTTTGCTCCACAACATTTCATTCATTAGTGGTATTTGCTAAGTCAATTACACTGTTAGGGTTAACACTACTGAAATACGTATTTGGCTTTGTATTGAAACTACTGTATGTTAACCTTTAATTCTTGAAGCACCATGTACTGGGCCGACTGGGGAAACCACCCTAAGATCGAGACGGCCGCTATGGACGGCACCATGAGGGAGACGCTGGTGCATGAAAACATCCAGTGGCCCACAGGTCAGTCTTCATGTGAATCAAACACCACACACACGGATTCAAGCACCTGTGACAGCCGTAACATGACTTCTGTTGGGTTTGTTCGCCAGGTCTAGCTGTGGATTACTTCAATGAGCGTCTGTACTGGGCTGATGCCAAACTCTCTGTTATCGGGAGCGTCAGACTGAACGGAACAGATCCAGTCATAGCTGTCTCCAGCGTTAAAAACAGTTGAGTCATTCCCTGTACATTCACATGCCTATTATTCCTCAAACAACTCTGGATCGATTGAGAGGAATAACATTTTCATTCATTATTATTTATTTTGTACTGAAAACACTTAACGGAAAAAGAACATTAGAGCCAAGGACAAAACATCTCAATGAACAAACAACCAACACATGAAACACATCACACAACTCATACAGGCAGCATAAGGAACAATGCACTAATAAGCAACAATATATATGACACAAACCAGTTTTGAATTATTTATATGAATGCTTCAGTATTCACTATCAGTATTAAATGAATTATAAGCATCGGCAAGTATCAATCTCTCACTGGATTTTTTCAATGAGCTCATGACACATGAGGAGGATTCGCTCCTCCAAGAAAGATATATGCAATGCAGCCTTCAAATCTGCTCAAAATACCTTTTTTAAACCACTCTTAAGAAGGAGAACAACATTATTATGGCATGTGAATGCATATGATGTTGATATGTGTGTTTTTGTATACTATTGTTATTTTTTGTTTATATTTTACTGTTGATTTTTTGAGTTTTAGTTATTTTGGTGTGTGTTTTTGACATTTTTATTATTACTGTAAATGTCTACTTTAAGTTAAACAAATGGAAATGAGAAATGTTGCATTAGCAACTAGTTGAAATAAAGTAAGTTTATATTTTATTTCACTTATTGTTTATTGTATTTCAGGTAATGAAAACACCTTTATATGATTTTAGTTTTAGTTAACTATAATATTTTATAATATTTTTTTATGTTAATGCATCACTAAAGTTTAAATGAGCTTTTATGAAGCTTGAACTATAAAATAACTTGAGCTATAATAATAATAATAATAATGAGTCTTTTTTTCTCTCTCAGGTTTGCACCACCCTTTCAGTATCGACATCTTTGAGGATTTCATATACGGTGTGACCTATCACAACAACTTTATCTTCCGCGTCAACAAGTTTGGCAAGAGTTCAGTGGAGCATCTGACCACAGGAATTAACCATGCCACAGATTTGGTCCTGTTCCACCCTTACAAACAACCAGAGAGTAAGTCTGGAAAATAATTCTGTGAAACAATAGATTCTTACGTATGATTTTATTTGAACTCAATCACAAAATGTAATAATCAATGTAGTTTTTGCCCCTTGGTTGATAGATGAATAGAAATTGAAAGTTAGCTTGATCATTCAACAAAAATGCCTCATGTAACCATTACTGTTTTATATCACAGTGGCCAACCCATGTGACAGGAAGAAGTGTGAGTGGTTGTGTCTGCTCAGTCCCAGCGGCCCAGTCTGCATGTGTCCAAACGGCAGAATACTGGACAACGGCACCTGTGTGGAGGTTCCCACCCCAACACTGTCCCCTGTCTGTGAGTATACAGCTGTGACCCTTCAAAACGCTTGAAAAGGGAAACAAATGCTGCAATTTCATGTGGTATTTTTTGAATAAACACTGATGCTAAGGCGCTGAATTTAGTCTCTTTGGGGGTGTGGGTCCAAATCCCAATGCTGCCAACAGTGGTTTTGTGGGGCAGTTGTGACCTAATGGTTAGAGAGCTGGACTTGTAACCCGAAGGTCACGGGTTTAAGTATCAGTACAGGCACTCATTACCCACAATTGAGGTGCCCCTGAGCAAGGCACCGAATCGCCAACTCACCAGGTGCAGCAACATATGGCTGCCCACTGCTCTGGCTGTGTGTGTGCACTTGGATGGGTCAAATGCATAGCACAAATTCAGAGTTTGGGACACCATCCTTGGCTTCACGTCACTTTCATGCTCCTGTGGTATTCAGTGCTGTATGAGTCAGTAACAGGAGGGAGGACACATTAGATATATATGTCCAGAATAACACTAGTCCACCTAGTCAAAGCTGCCAGAATAATATAATGGTTTGGAAATAAAACAAAATTGCAAAATAATTGTAGTTCCCATACATGCACATAATTTCCACTGTAAATATAGTTTGAGAAGAGTTGTTTTTGCTATGGTTTCGGGGTTGTAGATATGGTAAGTGGAAGAGATGAGTCTTCACTTTATTTTAAACTGAATGTCGGTTTCAGCAGATTGGATGGAGGGTGGTTTGTTCCACTGCAGAAGAATGGAAAGTGTTTTTGTTTCTCATTGTGAAGGAACAGCTAGGCACCTCCAGTTCACTGAAGGTAAATGGCAGGAGCGAGCATGTGCTTGTAGGAGTACACTGGGAGTGGCAGTTCTGAAGGCCAGTGTCAAAGCCTTGAATTGGATGCAGGCAGAAACGCGTAGTGAGACCAAGTGAGGTGTGATGTGGGCCATCTTTGGCAGTTTGAAGATACTTTCTGGCAAAAAAGGGCATTACAGTGGAGTCATTGCCAGTGGAGAGCATGAAAGGAGAACGACAGAAAACCAGAAAATAAGTGGACAGAGAAATGTGAGTGAGCGACAAGATGGTTGTTAGTGATAAAGTTATGGGTAAGGATGAGGTCTAGTTGTGTGTCACAAGCAGTTTTGGGGAAAGTTACTTTTAAATGTAATGCAATACAATATTGTGTTACTCCTTAAAAATGAACTAATTGCATAACTTTTTATGGAAAGTAATGCCTTAAGTTATTTCTGCGTTACTTTTTCTCATCTGGCCTGGCTTGTTTATTTTTATGTAAAAAAGATGTTTTAAGATGTTTGTTTATCTAAAGTCATTTTTGCTTATTAGTATATTTGAATTGGATCATTGAAGGTCAGCAGCAAAGACCTTGGTTAATAAAATGGGATTTAATACATAAAGGATATTTGTGTTATTTAACATATTTAATTATTGCAGGTTTGTGTCATATTCTGAGTTTGCATTTCACGGTTTTTATTGATTTTGAGGAATGCTGAATCTGTTTCTGTTTAAGTGAGATGAGTAAATGCATGTTGACATTTAGTCTAGATCTACAGTAACATCATGTTCACACAAAGTTGACTCCTGATTTTTCTCAACATGCGGACAGGAGAGCTGTGAGTCACAATACATGGGAAATCAGAGTAACTGGTGTTACTTATTTGAAAAAGTAACTCAGATATTTTTAATGTTAATGAAAAGGAATGCGTTACTTGACTAGTTACTTGAAAAAAAGTGTTCTAAATACACAACTCACTTTACTTGCAATGCGGTACCCCCAACACTGCACACAGGTGTGCTGTCTTGTAAGGTCTCCAGAAGGGCTAGGAATTCAGCTGCTTGAGGTTTGTCTAGGTGGATTTTGAAATTACCAAAAACCACCAGCAAAGTTCCATCCTCAAGGAAAGAGGACTGCAACATGTCAAGCTCCTCAAGGAAGTTGCCCAGTTGATCTTGAGGATGATAAATGTGTGAATTTTGTCAATTTTGGCAGTAGGGCTGGGCAATATGATGGTATATGTCGTGATGACGGTACAAACGGATACCCGAAGCATGCACACAGAAAACTGCACTCTCTCAGACAGCATGTGATCGCAAATTCAGATCTCTTTTACATCTTATTGTGCTTGAATGGCCAAATTCACGCACAATTATGTATAAATGCCCGTCGTGCGGAATATTCAAGTAAACACAGTCAGTTATGTCTTAAATTAATGTAAACAGTGAAAACCGGACGCGTTTCAGTATAAGATCTGTGCAGTCGGTCTTAAAGGGACAGCAGCCTAATTTACCTGCTGCTGTCTGTGTCATTAATGTTAATCAAACAACAAAAGACAGAGAAAATCACTCACTGCTCTTGACTGAATCACTTTCGGATCTTTAATTAGAATCAGTTCGTATTTGATTCATGCAGTGTTTTAGTTTTACACTTGATTATTCAATTTCTGTAGAATTTATTACTACATGTTAAGTAAAACTAATACAGCTGAAACACTTAAAGTGTATGTAATTTGTGTCTTTGTGCTATTTGTCCTATTGTTTGTAATTTACTTCTTTGTTCTTGTTTTAATAACTAAAATAAAATAAAAATAGCTAAATTGGAATATATATCGTTATCATGAAATAAAAATGATCATACCGTGAAATAAGATTTTGGATAAATCACCTACCCTTCTTTGGCAGAATTAATAGTAGTGATTGCTATTAAAAGGATTTTAATGCAGAGAGTGTCACACCCCATAGACTGTTTGTTGTGTTTTCTCCCTCTTGTGCCCATATTTGGTTATGTTCCTGTTCTCGTTATGTCATTATTAGTTCATCCTCCTCACCTGTCTGTCCCTCATCAAGCTCCCCTATATTTAGTCAAGTCTGTGCATTCTGTCTTTGTCCAATGTTAAAGTTGAGTTGTGCGTGTGTTACTGCCTACCTTCTGTGTGGTTTATATTAAAGATTATTTGCATTTTTCTCCGTCTTCGTCGTGCGCTTATCAAACCATACCGTGACAGAACACTGGCCCGACAAAAAGTATAGCGCGTGTTCCCCCTCGTTTCTTTTTTGTTTTGAAAGTTTTTATTTTTTAATTATGAACGATCCTGCCGTCCTCGTCCTCCTGCTGGAGCAGGGGGATCGGTCTCTCGAGAACCACACCGAGGACTTCATGTTCCTGGCCAACTACACACACTACACCCGGACAACTGACTCTGCTCATTCTATCTTGCTGGACTTAATGACACCACACGAGCGCAGTTGTCCGGGGAGGGTCCTCGAGAGAGCCTCGCCGCCTTCATTGAGTGGGTGCTGGTGTCCTGTAAATTGCCGCTCACCGTGAATATTGCGGATGACGACACCAGCCCCACTCCGGACCCAGAGCCCAGCCCACCATCACCCCGCAGCGCAAAGCATAAGCCTGAGCCCACCGCTGATGGAGAGCCAGAGCCCACCGCGACCGACAAGCCATCGCCAGAGAGAGCGACAGTGCTGAGGATTGCCTCGGAGCCAGAGTCCGTGACGTCAGACCAGGTATGAGAGCCGGCTACAGAGCTCGCCACGGGGGAGAGAGTCAAGGACAGCGAGAGCGCGGAGGGAAGCTCCGCCCACTGCACCATGACTGAGGGTGAGCTGAGCTCAATGGACTGTAATTCGGATATATATATGCAGACATGCCCCCTCTTCTTCCGTCTTCATCTGAACTTTCTGCCTGCCCTGAATTATTTGTCTGGCCCGAATTATCTGCCTGCCCAGAATTATCTGTCTGCCCCGAACTGTCTGCCAGTGTGATAATGACCACAGAGGTTGTTCCCCTGTCGCTGGCGCTCACGGTGCTGGAAGTAGCCTTGTGGTGTGTGTGGGCAGCACACACCGTTCCTATGCCCTCTGAGCATCCTGAATTCCCGCCTGCCCTCCCTTTCCTGCCTCGGTCGCCGGCGCCATCTGGTCCACCTTGCCCTCCGGATTCTCCCCGTCGCCCTGGCTCATCGGCTCTTCGTCTCCGACTCGGGCTCCTCCTCCACCTGCTCTGCCGCCGTCGGTCGACTCCCTGGAATCGTCAGCCCTTTCTCCACTATGGCTCCTCCCTCCGTCGGCTCCACCGTGGGCCGCCATCATGGCTGCAGCCTGGGTCCCACCTGGCTCCTCCTGCTCCAAGTCCCTCCTGTCTTCTCCCTGGCTCCTCCCTCCGTCTGATCCGCCCTGGCTCCTCCTGTTTCCTCCATGGCTCCTACCTCCGTCGTCTCCACCCGGGACTCGTCACCGCCCTCATCCCGGGAGTCCGTCCTCCGCCCAAACCTCCACCTGGGTTGTCCGCCTGCCTTCCTGCCAGCCCATCGCCATCCCCTGTCACCATCCCAAATCCACTCCTTTGTCCTTCTCCTAAGTCCCCATCCGTCCCACCCTTTCTTCCTGCGGCGCGAGGTCGCGCCTTCCAGGAGGGGAGCGAACTATCACACCCCATGGACTGTTTGTTGTGTTTTCTCCCTTTTTGCCCATATTTGGTTATGTTCCTGTTCTCGTTATGTCATTATTAGTTCATCCTCCTCACCTGTCTGTCCCTCATCAAGCTCCCCTATATTTAGTCAAGTCTGTGCATTCTGTCTTTGTCCAGTGTTAAAGTTGAGTTGTGCGTGTGTTACTGCCTACCTTCTGTGGATTCCTTCTGTGTGGTTTATATTAAAGATTATTTGCATTCTTCTTCGTCTTCGTCGTGCACTTATCACACTGTACCGTGACAGAGAGAAGATAAAGGAGTGAATCTGTGCTTAGAGTGCCGATGACAATAGTGTTCCTGTAGCTCAAACAGCTCAGCAATGTCAATGTCACGGGTTCCGTTTAATCGTCAAAAAATAGCTTTCAAGTGAAGTTCCATTCTGCATTTTATTGTGGTTGAATATTATGTTTTACTCTGAAATGTAACATTGTGGAAATAAAATGGATTGTTCACTTGGGTTTAACTTTTATAAAAAAAGAAGAGTTAATGTTGTTTTTATCTGTTTCTGTGTCTTCCCTCAGCTCCGAGTGGCACCTGTAACCTGCTTTGTCTGAATGGTGGAACTTGTGTCCTGAATGCCAGAAAACAACCCAAGTGTCGCTGTCAGCCAAACTATGGAGGAGAGAGATGTGAGCTAAACCAGTGCAAAGAGTACTGCCAGAACGGAGGAACATGTACCGCATCACCCACAGGTACAGCATCACAAAAACACACTATATGGGCTTTAAATATCGTCTCACATGTCTAATCTTACATTAAACTGCTGTTCAACATGTTAGTGAATCCTGGGAGACATTGTTCACCTGCTCCTGGGCTCACCTGTCTCTTCGATCTCTCCACTTCCATGTTTATTGTGGTGGTTAAGGGGCGATGCTGACATTTGCATGGCTGGCTCGCCACGATATGTATTTAAAAGGCATATTATGTTATTATAATATTAATAACACAAAAATAACTTGTTTTATAATATTTTCAGGAGCTCCGACTTGCCGTTGTCTGGCAGGCTTCACAGGACCCAACTGTAACCAGCGCACATGTGAGAACTACTGTAAGAATGGAGGAAACTGCACAGTTAATCGTGGAAACCAGCCCACCTGCAGCTGCCCTGCAGACTTCCTGGGAGACCAGTGTCAATACCGTAAGTACTACAGCCCCTTCTACTGCCTGTGGAAATAAAATGAGTTAATGTTTAGGTCTTTCCAAACGTTTCCATTGGACAAATGTGTAGCAAATAAGCTCAAAAGGGAAATGTATATAAATAATTACAATTAATTATAATTCATTACAATTATTTACCTCAGCTGCCAGTAGTAACTGTAGCAGAATTAATATTACAATCATCTAATCTGTTCGTCCAGTGAACATTAAGTATAATTTCATATCAACTCTAAGAAAGGATATTTTCTTGTCCACAGAAAATAACTTTCTTACAGTACTAGTGCATCAGAGCATGTAGCTATAGATCGGATCATAAAAGGGACACTATTCACAAACAGAACCAGAAACTCATGTAATTTGTGCACAAAAGTTTTATTAACTAAACACTAACACATAACCAATCTAAACAAACATACAATCACTCATACATGGTAGGGCTGCACGATTATGACAAAAATCATAATTGTCGATTGTTCCCTTGAAATTGTAATTGCGGTTATCACAATTTACATTGAATGATGTTTATACCATTGTTTGATGCAACTGCATGCCGTATTTTTATATGAAAATAAACAAGCTGAAAACACTCTAACTGAAAAAACTTGTCTATTGGTGAATGGAAAGACAAGGCCGCAGCCTGGCACAAACTTATGGGTCCTTGAAGACTTCTAGCTCAGCATCCTCATCTTCTCAGAATCTAAAAGAATCGGGCTGATCTGGTGATCAGTGATCTTTAAAGTGTGAGGATGTCACATCCTCAGGATTTGAGGGAGCCAATGAGGAATGGTACCTTTGGAGGGAAATTTTACGATCCTTTGTCTCTAGCATGGTGTTTTGCATATGTAACTGGACTGAATCTTCAAGATTCTTATAATACTAATATGTCACAGAGTTAGCAAAATGTCATTTAAATTAACAAATACGAAACGTAATTTGGAGCTCAGATACCAAACATGTCATGTGTGAGTTTATATTAACTAAGGATTCTATCATAATGCATGCATAAAACAGTATACAATTCAAAATACAATATACAAGAACAGTAATAATGTGAACCGGTGTGAACCAGATCTAAAGGTGATCTTCAAGCCGTGATGAAGAAACTAATTCAGATGAAGCGGGGTTTTAAACTGTGTTCTCCTCTTTTCTAACAGGGTCATGTGATGGATTCTGTGACCATGGAGGGACATGTATGCAGTCCAGAGATGGGTCGAGACAATGTCGCTGCCCTCCACGCTTCATCGGCAATAACTGTGAAGTGGACAAGTGTCACTATTGCCGTGATGGCAAGTGTATTCCCACCAACATCTACCAGCCACATGGAGACGTTACATGCAGGTACACAATCTCATACTCTAGTACACATACACATATGTTAGGGCTACATACAATTCAAATTGATCCATTTACTTTCTAAATCTCAGTTCTCTTTCACTTGGCTCATTTGACATCTTACTTTAGGAAGTAGCTATTGTGTGGCCAATCATGAAGCCCTTTAACCCAATGTTTAAATCAAGAGTTAGGTGTTATGTAGTATACAATTCTGAAAATATCTTAAACTTGTGTTAAACACCTACCTTATTTCGGGCATTTAACCAAAAACTCTCTCAAAAAGCCCATTGTTTCAGGATGATAGATCTGGAAATGCTAAAACTTGTTTCCAGGTTTTGGCTTACAAAAAAAAGTCATCCCTGCAGCACGCTATTGGCCAGTGCAGGCTATTGGCCCTGTCCATTCCTTATATACCGGTAATACACTGCACGCGCCAGAAGGGCGTCCTACATCTTTTCACTCGCAGCATCTGTTTGCTTGCGTCTTTTGTTAATATCGTTGGCTCAATTTGATGCTTGGAGTCACTACTGGAACAACTGGATCTGACATCACCCTCTTACTTCTCAACTCCTCCCCTGTCATATTGAGACAATGGCATTTCACAGTGGATAAAAGCAACTGCACTGCAGCAGTGTTGTTCTCTCCTAACACATACCTTGATGGTTGGAAACTTTTAATGTTCATAATGCTTTCCCAACAATATGTTTTTGGTTGCCCTGATCTTTTATTGACTAAATCTTACTTAAGTGAAACTATATAATGCGTTTATGTGTTGCAGGTGTACCAGTGGCAGAATTCAGCCAAGCTGTTATACATGTGAAGGGTACTGTGCTAATGGGCAGTGCTCTCTTAGTGCCTCAAACCTCCCACAGTGCAAGTAAGCTGTGTTATTTTAGTTTCATTTATATATTGTTATAGTATTCATTAATATTTTGAATGATAGCTTTTATTGTTTTTATTATCTTTTTTAATATTTCTATTTTGCTTTTATTTTTATTTCAATTTTAGTTTTAGTAATTTTAGTACTTAAACGTATTTACATTTTTCATTTAAGTTTTTCAAGTTTAAGATTTTCTTCTAATATTTATTATTATATTATTTATTTTTCATTTTTCAGCTTTATTTTAATTACTGAAAACCATTTATAATGGTGTATTTTAGTTAACGATAACAGCACTGCAAGTCATATAACCTAAACATACTCAATAGTACCACTTGAGCACGCAGTCATATCCACTACCACTCCAAATGATTTTATTCAATCTACATGGTTTCTTCAGATGAAGATAGCATGCATAATCCCAATACTCCAAGAAAACCAATATCCTGGCTTCTGATATACAGTATGAAACCTCATTTCTTCCATTCATTGCTAAAGCTGTGTTGCTTGTCCTCTGTCAGTCAGACTACAAAACTAGTCATTCTGTTGATGCTGCTGTCTGTTCTTCAATCAGGTTTGTGCAGCAAATCATTGGCTAGAATGTTGTAGCATAACTCTGCAACAAACTCTATTTCTATGCATCAGTCTGTCTGACACTATCAATCACAGAGTCTGACTTCTAGACCAGCAGACATTGGGATTTCTATGTTAGTTGCTACCTGTACAACATGTCTCATCATGTTATCTGGACAGGTTCTTATTCATCACCATGCACCTTTGCCACTGAGGTACCACAAGGGTCAATGCTTAGGCCTTTATTCTTTCCCAGCTCACCAGGAAAAAAACAACAACAACACGCACTGATCATTGAGTAGCTGCTACAAAATATGGGCTTATAGCCGTTTTTGGTTTAGTTCATTATATATATATATATATGTGTGTTAAATTCCTTTGTTTCTTCATGTAGATGTCCTCTTGGATGGGAGGGTCATCGTTGTGAGAATCCTGCTCCCATTGAAAATGCTGAATCCAGTGGCCGTAAGTCCATTTTTCGATTCTACAACTAATAGAAACATGTTAGGCCAATAGGTGTCATTACTGGTAAGGGTTTTGTTAAACTTATATATTTTTGGTAACACTTTACAATAAGGTTCCATTAGTTAATGTTAGTTAATGTATAAACTAACATGGACAAACTATTGTTAATGCTTAGTTCATGTTAAAGTAGTTAACTAATGAACCCTATTGTAAAGCGTTATCATATTTTTGATGGTGGTGTAATAGAATATTCTCCAAAATCTAAATAAAACTTATGATATTAATGTCTGTTTCTTTTAGGAACCGCTTCAATAGTTATTCCATTGGTTTTACTGATACTGCTGGTGTTGCTGATTGGAGGAGCAGTATTGTGGTACAGAAAAAGAAAGAGAGGGTGAGTATATGATAAAATTGTACTTCTGCTCTTTTTCAAAAGATTTTCACCTCTTTAAAGTGTTCTACTGTTCAGAATTTGAAATATAAGCAACTTCCCATCCCCAAAACACCTATTTTCTCTCCTTCTTTCTTGGTAAATCGCATCTGCTCTTTTCCGTAGGCTTGGCAAATCCCGCTCCAAACGACCGCGGTAACGGTCTTTGTCCATTATGTCTTTATTTTGTCTCTCTCCCATTCTGTCCATCTTTCTCGCTGGTTTGGAGAATTGTGGTCCAAGTGTTCTTGTTGTCTTCATGGTCTCACCCGATCTCTTTCTGTCAAACCACCTGACTAAACCCTACAAGTGGTTTGTGCCTTGTTCTGATGAGTAGGCAATAATCTGCTACCGAGAATAAAGAAATAGATCTAATTGTGCTTGACTGTGAGAACCTATTGTTTTCAACAGAGTCATACAAGTCCCGCTGTATTACTGTATGATTATCTACAATTGGTTCTCAGCAGGACTGATCTGTTGAACATGTGCTGCATTCAAAACCCAGTGTTTTATCAAGATAATGTGGGCATTCGATGGCCTTAACTTAAAGAAAGTGTTAGTCTTATCAATAGCTTTTCATTTGCATATTTTATTTATTTTTACTTGGGGAGGACAGTAAGACCTGAATCCTATATCATGATAATTGTTTTTGCTTGAAATGCAAGGGAAAATAAAAACATGGTTGATAATAATTAATTTAGTTTCAATAACCTTAGTTATTAAACAATGTGGTAATGCCTTATTGTATAATATAGTGAATTTATTACTCACAAATGAAAAGCACTTCTCATTTGATAAATTTTTCATGTTATTGAGAACTTGATAGATGTGAATGAAAAGATCTGATTATTCATAACAAATGAGCCATCACTGCAAAAACAGTTTATCTTCAATGCGTTTCAGTTAATATTCAATAAAATGCATTGATTTAGCTGGACTTGACTATTGAATGAGGTCACTATATAACTGAACTAAATTAAAACTGATATTGCTGATTGTCAGTTGAAGAAATTGTGACACTGACACTGTTTGTCCTGTTTTAACGAACCACATGTAAAGCGGTAGTGAAATACATATATCAATAAACAAACGCTTGTGACCACACATCAGTTGAATTTAATTGAACTACTGTATATTACAGGGTTAGTTCACCTAAAATCATTTACTCACCCTCATGTCATTCCAAACCCATAAGATTTTCAATCATATTTGAAACAAAAAGGAAGGATCGGGAGAGGTCCGCGAGCCGGTACTTGAACTCGGGACGCCCGAAGCGCATCGGTGCTATATGTCAGCGTGCTGGTGCTGAAAAGAAATTAAGATACTTTTAATAAAACCTGTGAGATTTATGTCCCGCCAATGAAAGTCCACGCAAGTAATCTATATGAATCGAGTGGTGTGTCTTACTAAGAGAACAAATTTAACTTAGGCTTTTATTTTCATAAACATAGATCAACACACATACTGTATATATATATATAGCACGTAAAATTTGGAAAATGAAAGCTCAAACTTTTACAATGTATTTATAAACTATTTTTGAAGTTTCAAAGTGTGGGTGAAATGGACATTCAAAAGAGGGACAGAAATCTCTCAAGCTTCATTTAAATATATCTTTATTTGTGTTTTGAAGACGAACTAAAATCTTATGGGTTTGGAACGACATGAGGATGAGTAAATAATGATCAGATGAACTGTTATACAGCCCAACCCTTTTGGCACACATACTTTTGTACCTTAATAAATTATCCGAATTTTCTAATCATTAATCAAGTTGGTTGACTTAAAAGGGTTAGTTCACCCAAAAATGAAAATTAGGCTGCGTTTTACTCACCTCCGAGGCATCCTAGGTGTATATGACTTTCTTCTTTCAGACGAATCCAGTCGGAGTTATATTAAAAATTGTCTTTGATCTTTTTTTAAGCTGTTTAATGGCACTCAGCGGGTGTTGCATTGCTTCAGTCCAAAAGAACTTAAATAAAAATCGCCCATCCATAAAATGTGTCTCTCACGGCTCCGGGGGGTGAACAAAGGCCTTCTGTAACAAATCGATGCATTTTTGTAAGAAAAATATCCATATTCAAAACGTAATAATCACTTTAATCATGCTTGCGCTCACTGTTGTACACTGGAAGCGACCCGGGGCGGTGGACGAATGAGTTCAGC